ATTAAGAAATCGATTTTTATTTCCAAAAATTAATTTTGTTTCCAAAAATTAATTACAGGGTCATCCCTCTGTAATATCTTCTCATATATCTTCATGAATCTTTATTATTTATTGGATATAATAAAATACAAAGAGCTTAGGGTTTTCTGTTCAATGAACTTTGACAATCATAACCACCCATGTATCATCAAAACAAGATAGTACAACTTTTTCATTAGACTAGCAAGTTCCCTCTTGTACTTCCCAGTCAAATCTCCTAGTTTTGCAATCATTTTCTAATTTCCACCACTATTCTTTTGTCTGTTCTTGAATTTCACACAAATGGAGTATTTGAGACTCATCTACATTGTTACATGTACTGATAATTCATTTTTTAAAAAATGATGAGTCATATTCCATTGTACAATTTATTTATTCATTCTACTGTTTATAGACATTTGGGTTGTTTTCAGTTTTGAACTATTATAAAGGTGACATAAACGTTCTTGTTCATGTCTTTTTGTGAACACATTTTCATTTCTTCTACATAATTACCTATGAGCGAAATATATTTAACTTTATGAGAAACTAATAGTTTTCCAACGTGTTTGTATCATTTCACACTCCTACCAGCAATATACAAAAGTTCCAGTTGGGTAGAGTAAGTGGATTTGTTTTGTAAGCCATTCTAACAGATGTGTTTCAATTTGCGGTTCCGTGACGACTAATGATATTAAGCATCATTTTACCATGTGCTTATTGTTCATTTGTATAACTAATTTTGTCTAATGTCTGCTCAAGTCTTTTGCTCATTTTAAAAATTGGGTTGTTTGCTTTTTTACTATTTGTCCTTTGTGAAATATATGTGTTGAGAGTATTTTTTTTCCAGTTTGTGGTTCATCTATTCGTTTTCTCAATGATATCTCTTACAGACAGCAATTTCTTATTCTAATGAAATTCAATGTATCCTTTTTAAATTTTAGGAAATGGCAGGCAGAAAAGCCCCCTCCCTGACAAAAAGTATTTATGTCCTAATCCTCAGAAACTAGGAATAGATTACATTACATGGCAAAAGGGACTTTACAGATGTGATTAAGGGATCTTCAGATATATTATGCGGATGGGCTAAATCTATCACAGGAGCCCTTAAAAGTAGAAGAGGAAGGCCTTAGGGTGAATCATAAAGACATAACAGTGGAAGAAGAGGCAGGAAAGATTCAAAGCATGGAAGGCACTAAACCTGCCACTGCCAGCTTTGAAAATGGAGGAAGAGGACTGTAAGCCCACAAGAGAAATGTGAGCGGCCTCTATGAGCTGGGAACAGCCTTAACTGACAGCTAGACAAAAAATGGGCTCCTAAAATTTAAAACCGCTAGCAACTGAATTCTGCCAACAATGTGAATGGGCAAGGAAAGAGATTTTCCCCCAGAGGCCTTCTAAATAAATCCAGCTCTGCTGACACTGATTTTGATGTTGTGAGGCTCTAAGCAAAGACCCAGTGAACACATTGGATTTCCAACCTAAGAGAACTGTAAGATAATACATTTGTATTGCTTTAACATGCTAAATTTGTGGTAATTTGTCATGGCAGCAGTGGCAAACTAAATAAAACTAAATAAAGGTGCTTTTTGTGCTCTGTCCAAATATTTGCCTACCCTGAGTTTGAAAGTTCTCCTATTTTTCTTCAAGGTTTTATTAATATTTTAAGTTCTCTTCATTTCTTCTATTATGTCTGCCTCGACAGGAATCCCCTAATTGGACCAGACTACTTGCTGTCTCTCCTTTAAGTTACAAAGTGCCCTTATATGACCTGTGGCTTCTCTCTACCTGCCCTTTCATCAGGTGTGAGTTTTCTTGACACCTATGCAAGGTGGGAATACTCAAGTCTTTTAGGTAGTAATGATGGCAGACCGACTAAGGTATAGCAGGTGGCTAAAGGCTGAGCAGACTGAGATTACTTTAAGGGCTAATGGTCCCATGGCCACCTTCAGAACATGCTTTTGTACAAGGGATATTCTATCCTGGCCTCCTCCCCCAACCCAGCCTATCTAAATTCAACTAGAGTTTGATTCCTGGATCAAGTTCCATAGCTTCCATGAATTTTTCTCTGAGCAGCCTGCAGGCTCACTTACGTCACTCATTTGTCATATTTCCATAGAAACCACACATCTCTGATATGTATGCCTTGTCTCTCCAACCTGATCATCTGTAATCCCAGCTGAATAAACGCTAAATAAATGTATGAAAGATCTATGCATAAATATGTTCACTGTGATGGTGTTTATAGTGGCAAATTGGGAAGAACCTGAATGTCCAACAGTAGAAGACCGGCTAAAATAAGTATGGCACAGCTCTGTAAGAGACTCAATGAAGGCATTTAAAATGATGAAGCAAATCTCATATATATTAAAACAAAAAGATATTTTGCTACATGAAAAAAAGGGTAACAAGAATACTAGGATGACATGTTTGGAAATAATTCCATCACTTCCACAACCAAAAATCATTAAAAATCTCCATATAGTACTCTGTAAGGGTGAAATATGTGTATTTGGAAGGATATATACTAAAGAGCTAACTGACTACCTCTCACAAAGTTTTCCTTTCCTTCCACATTTTCTGTATTGAAGGTTTTACAATTAACATAAATTTTTTCAATTTTAAATTTTTATTTTAAAAGTCAACACATGTGCCCATTCAATAATCCAGCTCCTGGATCCCATGACTTCTTTGCTCAATGTGGTCCCTCTTTAAGATGGGAACACATTCTCTACTAGCTTCTGGAGAAGGAATGCCAGGGAAGTAAATTTTTGCTGTATAACTCTGTACAGCTGAAACAAGTTTCTTTCTACCCTCACATTTGATTGATAGGTTGGGCAGAGAATTCTGGGTTGAAAATATAATTAAAGGTGTTGTCTCACTGTCTTCAAGTTTCCAATGTTATTGAGATATTCCATGCCAGTTCTATTCCTGATCCTTGGGTATGACCTGTTTGGTTTATTTTTCTTTCTGGAAGTTTTTAGGATCTTCATTTTATTCCCTGTGATCTCAAATTTCACCACAATAAGCCTCGTTATGGGTCTCTTTCATCATTATGCTGGGCCCTGGTAAACATTTTTAATCTAGAGACACATTCTTCAGCTCTCAGAGATTTCTCCTTTCTTTACATTTCCTCCCTTACGTTCTCTTCTGTTTTTTCTTCTAAATACTGAGCCTTCTGGATTTACTCTCAAAATTTCCATTTCTATTTCTCACCTATATTCTATTTTGTTTTTAAAATTTAACTTTCTGGAAGAATTCCTTGACTAACTTCCAAATTTTATAGAATTTTTAAAATTTTATCTATCGTATCTTAAATTTCTAAGATTGTTCTTGTTCTTCAATTGTTCTTTTTCTCTTTATAGTGTCCTGGTTTTGTTTTATAGATTTACTATCTTTTCTTGAGTATATAAATTATAATTTCTTTTTTTTCTTTTCTTTTTTTGAGACAGAGTCTCGTTCTGTCCCCAGGCTGGAGGGCAATGGCGTGATCTCAGCTCACTGCAACCTCTGCCTCCCAGGCTCAAACAATTCTCCCACCTCAACTTCCAGAGTAGCAGGGATTATAGGTACCCTCCATCATGCCCAGCTAATTTTTATATTTTTGAAGAGATGGGCTTTCACCATGTTGGTCAGGCTGGTCTTGAACTCCTGTCCTCAGGTGATCCACCCACCTACCTTGGCCTCCCAAAGTGCTGGGATTACAGGCATGTGCCCAGCCAATATAAATTATAATTTCTTTGAAACTTTCTGCAATGTCTCTGTTTCTTCCAAGTTCTATTTTTTGTTTATTATTATTATTTAGAGACAGGGTATCCCTCTGTGGCCCAGTCATAACTCACTGCAATGTCAAACTCCTAGGTTCAAGGGCTTCTCCCACCTCAGCCTCCTCAGTAGCTGGGAATACAGGCATGTGCCACCACAGTCAGGTAAGTGTTTTTTTTTTTTCTTTTTTAGAAACAAGGCCTTGCTACATTGCCCAGGCTGACCTCAAACTCCTGGCCTCAAGCAATCCTCCTACCTTAGCCTCTCAAAGTGCTAGGATTACAGGTGCAAGCCACTGTACCCGGGCAGTAGTGTACTTACAGTTTTGTGGGTTTTACAGTTTGTCCAAGTCTTTTGGGGTTGGGGGTGCTTAACCATTTTGATCTTCTTCGTCTCTCAAACAAGCAGTAGCATCCTCATGTAGCACAGGAGGAAACTGGTCCAGCAAGGTTGAGTGGCAGGCTCAAGGCCATATGGTTAGCCTGGCATGGTCAGGGCTGCAATCCAGGTCATCTGACTCCCCAGGAGGTGCCTCTTTTATGTCACACCACCTCTTGGACACTAGTGTCAGGCCAACTAATATTGACCACTACCAAGGAATGGGAAAGGGGGAGAGGAGTGCTGGGTAGCACTGGGCTCTGATGGAGAGGTGTCTCAGGCCTCCTGAAGCATAGTGATGCCATGTATTGCTGACCCCAGACTCTGCAAATACTGATCCATTTTTTAGTGTATTCTCATCTGATCCTGAGACAGAGAGAGCACTCAGGTGCCACTGTTGCCTTTTATACAATAGGGAACCGAGGGCTAAAGAGTGAAAACCACACAAGGCCTTGTAGCCAGAGGCAACAATGCTGAACCTTAAGCCCAATTTTCCTAACTCCTTCTCTTTCTCCCATTGGGGTGGGAGAAGGTGGTGGGGGGCTCTGTTGGCAGCTCTCTAAGTGGGCTCACTTCCCTGTCTTCAGCCACTTGTGGAAAGCATACCCCCAGAGGGTGGGCCCCATGCTGAGGGCCCATGGGCACACAGCCTCCAAGGCGCCTTCTCACCCACAGAAGTTTGCAGCTGCTAGGGCTCTGTCTTCTCAGAAACACCGCAGCAGTGGTGGCGGCAGCAGCAAGCTCTCTGAGACAAGCCCATGCACTGGTGGTAGTGTTTTTGTTTTCATTTTTAAGTAAACTATTTTTTAAACAAAAATAAAAAATAAAAAGATACCTACCTAAGCTAAATTCTAAAATGGGCTCGTCTGGGTCTTGTATATTTCCTAAATAGAAAAGAAATGACAGAAAAATCACCCTTAATAAACTTTTTCCTGTTTTCAGACTTAATGCACAAATAACCCTCTACTTCCCCCCAACGACAATAAGAAGAACTGTCATGCAAGACAATTTCTTCATTTTAAAAATATTTTGTTTTTGAGATTGCTATGAAGTCCCTGACCCCACAACCAAACCCCCACTCCTCCTTGGATCTACACATCGACAACAGGGAGGCCTTTTACCATGGCCTGGGCATTTGTTAGCCAGACACTTGGACATTCCCACGCTACCCTGGTGGTGCCCCCCTCCCCCTGCAAACTGGAAAACTAACATAGTCAAGCTCCAGCAAAAGCGGTTCACAGGAAGAGGGCTGATGACCCCTTTCCTATTTACTGGTTCAACCAGAAGGATGCTAAACTAGGGTACCCTGTAGTCTAGGGTAGTCATGGGGACTTATCAGGTACCTCCCAGCACTGCCACAGTGTGAAGCCATGCTCTGTGAGCTCATACCTGGAGCCCAGTACAGGCCCTGTGAGGCTCACCTGCCAGAGAGAGGCCCAGCATGTCGGCCGCCACATCGATGGTAGAAGCCCGCTGCATTGCACGGGCCCTGGCACCATGGCGAGGGCTGTGCTCTCTTGCTGTCATGATGTCATTGGTGATGATGTGCTTCTTGATCCTGGGTCAGACCACGCCTGATAACCCGGGAAGCGTTGGCACTGAGCCCTAGTCCCCTAAAGTGGCAGTAGCCCTGAGAAATAGGAGCAAACACTGGTAAGAAATCATGGCGATGGTGATGGAGTGGCATCATGTTCTCATTTAGAAAGAACGTGACCTAATGCAGGAAAGGGACAGTGACCAGGGTTCCCCAGCATGTGAGGAACCAGGGTGAACAGTCCGCTGCTCCCTGCCCTGTCTGGTCACTTCTTCCTCCTTACTCCTGGGATCCCTTGAGGATGTCTTGTCTTTTTCAACGGAGATATGCCACAGTGAATGATGGTTTTCACATAATCATAAAATATGGCTTTCGAGATTTTCTTTATTATGATCTTCTGTTGGCAAGCCTCATAGAACCTTTAAAAATTTAAATCAATTCACCACAATCTCTGTGAGAAGGGTAAGAGCTGCAGAAGAGTCTGCTGCCCACGGGCTACATCCAGGTGGCAAAACACTAGCGAGACAAAGCTCACAGCTTTAACCTGCTGGCTTTCTTCCCAGAGCTGCATAAACTTCATGTATGTCTGGATCTCAGGCTTTCCTTCCCGCAAAGCATGTAATCTAGGCCTAAGCGAAGTGGAGGGTGCTGTGCTGTGGAGGCGGAGAGCTCTAAGTAAAACACCGCCACAGGCTGAGTCAGACACTTCATATGGCTCAGTGCTCCAGAACCCATACTCTGCTCTCAGAACTAGGTTAAGCAGTGAGAAGGGAGTTTTAGGTTTTTCCCACCCTATATGCTACAACTCCTGCTGCCTCTAGAAAGAACCAACCTTTAGAAGATAATTAGACTGACTATAAGCCTACTTTAAAACACTTTCTCAGAGGTCATCATATTTCCAGAGATAGCCCTGTCTTCCCAAAGGGTATCCACACCTTGGGCCTGAAGGACCTGGGCTCCTGTCCTTGGGTTAATTCACCAAACAACTTACTGGACATGTTTGTTCTCGGACCATGTGGCATTTCTTCACAGAAGCACGTCCAAATCCATCATCTAAAAATAAGAAAGCAAAAACTTAACAGGCTCGTCAAACATGAAGTTCTCAAGAATGCAATGCCTAGAAATGTAGAGAGGCCAAGAGCTACTCCATGTTAGTTTGAGCTCCATACCCCAATCTAACCTTCTGGCTCAAAAATACAAGTTTTGCTGAAATCCAAAAAAATGAGAAAGAGAAAGCACATATTCCTCTCCCCTGCAGGGCTGATCTATTAAGGGAGTCTAGGCCTGTCCTAAAGAGCCAAGTGGGCAGCTGGGTATGGTCTAGGGACGTGAGGAGACAAGAATCTAGGTCCAGTTTCCTCACTCACAAACTGCAGGCCCTGGGAGAAGCTGCAGGGCCCTCTAAGGCCCTTCCCTTCAGGATGGATGGGCTGCACCCATCTCATGCGGCTATAACGAAAACCAAATGTGCATGAACAGGAGAGTGTTCTGCAGACTCCACTAGACTCCCACACCGCTGCTGCTGCTGGGGCCCGAGGCCCCACTTAGTCCCAGCACCAAGGGGGCTGCTGGGCAGCCCTCAGGGCTCAGCTCATGAGCCATCCCTCTTAAAGCGCCAGGGTCAGAGAATCAGATGACAGCAAGAGCAGAGTGCTTGGCCCAGGGCAGACTCAGTCTCTCTTGCAGGCTGTGCTCCTATCCCTCCCACTAGGAGTGCCCAGGGATCTTCAGCCTGGGCATCTCTGTAGACAGGGCAGTGGCCTGGTGGGGGAGCAACAAAATAAAAATCACCAAGGGGAAGATTCGCTGGTTAACATCAAAAGACACACAAGTGAAACAACATGCGACGCGACTGGTAAAACAAGAAAGTGCTTACAGTACCAGTATCTGTGTTTTACAGTAATGCTTGTACACATTAACAAAAAACTCACCAAAATGCAAGTGGCAAAAGGTAGGAATTCATAAAAGAGGAATACACATGGTAAACATTTTGAAAAAGTGACCAAACACTCAGTAACACAATGCTTAATACGCTTTCCTTCACCTGAAAACGTCCTCCAAAAGAGTTTTGTTTGTTCTTGAATGAGAATACACATTGCTGGAGGATCTGGCGGAAGCTGTCTAGGACTCTCCTGTACTGCTGATCACATCTTAGAGTAGTTCGAACGTTTAGAAAGCAATCTGGCATTCATTATCAAATTCGTAAATCATAACAAAACTCCTGCCAGTAGTCTAGAACATGGAAAAGACTACTGGGTAAAAATGCTTATTGTAGCATTACTTACAATAATAAAGCAATCCAAATGGCCAGCTATAGGTAAGAAAAAAATGTTCTCAAACATCCATAAGACACACTATTATCCGGCTATCAAAATGATCATAATAAAGCCAACAGACCCATGAAAAGTTCTTCAATCCCATTAGTCATCAGGGAAATGCAAACTGAAACCGTGAGACTCTGCACAACTACTAGAACAGCAAAAATGACAAAGACAGACTATACCAAGTGCTGCTAGGGACGTGGAGTCAATGGAAGTGACACTCTACTGGTAGAGAGAAGAGTGTCACTCTACTCAGCTATGCTAGAAATGGTCAGCTATGCTGGAAAACTGGCCGCCTCTATTTAAGTTGAACATATACCTATCCTGTGACCTGGCATACAATTCAGAGGGGGAATTGCTAACAGAAACGCATAGTTATGCTCCCCAAAAGCCTGTAGAGAAGGTTTGGAGCAGTGATGTTCACAGTAGGAAGATACTAGAGACAACCCAAACGTTCATCAATAGTAGAACAGATGAAACAATGGGATGAGTCTCAGAAACAATGTCAAGGGGAAAAGTTAAGATTATTCTAAGCAAATAATCCATACAAAGTTCAAGCACAGGCCAAATGAAATCTGTGGGATTCGGAATATGGAGAGTGGTATCCCGAAGGGGTAGGTACTGACTGGGGAGGGTGAGGGGGCTTCTGGGGCTCTGGAAATGATCTGGGTATGGATTGCACACAGACTTTACTGTGTGAAATTCAATGAACTGTACACATGTGATTTTTATACCCCCAAAAAAGGTGTATACAAAACAGCACTACGAAAAAAAAAAGTCAGTTCTGCATCATGTGTTTTTAAGGAAATAGCCTATCTTTGCTTTGTTTGTAGACATTTAAAGAGATACTGTACAGAGGGGACAGCCAGCAGGAGGCTGCATCAAGACGATAGCCACGCTGGGGATGTGATCATGGGGAACTGTCTTGTTCCTTCCCTCATGGCCACACTCTTGTGTCACTGAAGATTGCACCCCATGCAGGGCAGCACCCTAGGCATGACTTCAGCTCGAAGAAGAGGCTCTTCCCTCTTGAACATTTTCACAGTGTGTCTCCAGCATTCCATTGGCTACCTTGCTGCCCCGCTCAGCCTGTTAGTAAAGGTGTTGGTCACCCCCTTTACTTGTGACAGTGGAGACAGGCCACCTAACAGAGGGACACATCTGTACCCCAACATTCTGTCAGCCCTGGGGATGCTCCAAAACTCACCCATGCCCACCCCTTTCCACCTCTCCCTGCAGGGTCCCTGCCCACTCCACCTGCCTGATCTGCCCTTAGGAGGGTGGTTTACATCCTAGGCATCGTGAGGTTTCTGGAGATAGAAATGCTTAAAGGGGTACATCTACAGACTAATTTTACACCTGAGATAGTTCAAAGGTCACAGAAATTTTAGGTCAAAAAGACCTTAGAAGCACTTCATAGTTATTTGGGGACATTTAATTAGAATCTGCAATTTAAGGCATCAAGGCCCAGAACACAAAGCTAATTTGCAGAGCTGAACTCAATTTCTCTTCTTGTTCTCATTAATACGAGGTAATTCACCAAGGATTCTTATATTCCCAAGGTCCTTGTTTTTCCTCCCAGCTCCATTTGAAGACCAGAGCTCATTAGGAGGAAAAACAGCACTTAAATAGAAGAGGAGACAGAGTATGTGGGAGTTGTCTAGGAGGTTGGAAATTTTTCTTGGGGTCAAGAAAAAAGCAGCAACAACCCATTTAGCGAACAGCCCCCATTCCTCACTCTGTGCAGTCACGTGACCCCTCCAACAAGAGGCAGTGGACCATGAAGTAGACAGCAAACCCTGAGGTTTTATCCCACTGATGTCCCTTCCAGCCCTGGGGGGGAGGAACTGGGTGGTGGAGAGGGCACTAGTAGGACAGGAGGGGTGTTAGGATTCACACAGGACTAGTGAGGTGACAAGGCCTTCAGCAGCAGTCCTGGGAAAGGTGTGCCAGGGGCCTGGAGGGAGTACTGCAGGCCCCTTTACCTCAGTAACCTCTCAGGCTCTCCTGAGCTAGTGTTGAGAGGTGAGGATTAACACATCAGAGCTCCACCTTTGCTTATCTTATTCACTAGGGTTCTTCTAAGAATAATTTTTAAAGGGAGTTGCACAGATGAGGTCATGGACACTCAGACAGAGTGATTTTTTCAAGGTCGCATGGAGGTGAAGGGTGAATGAACTATCATTATCAACCCAAAGAAAAAGCCCAAGGGCAATGGGGGTCCCTCTCCCTACCTTATCCACTGACCCTGTCCTACCCCACCCCAGCCTATTGCTGTCTGTGGTAGCAAATGGGCTGAGAAGCTTCACTGTGCCTCTGCTCTCCAAACACAGGCAGCATAAGAGAGAAAGTAAAATGAAAGGCTGGCATGAAGCTGAGCATGAGTCAGCAGTCCCTAAGAAAGAGGCTACTTTACAGAAGCAGAAAGAGGAAGGACTTACTCTCAGAAACCCCAAATCCAGGACAGCTAAAATCACAGATCAATGAGATGTCACACCATTCACTGGCACTGAAAGTTACTATTAATAATAACCTGAGAGAGACAAATATCACCTTCCTGCAGACAGACAGGAAGGAATACTGCAAAGGATGTGAATGAACCTCCAGCCGGAAGAGGTGCACAGGGCAAGGCACGTGGGAAAGGGCGTGGAGCTGCCAAGCCTGCCTATGTGCCACTCCCCAGGAACCTCTGCATGCTCAGCTATCCAAAAGCTCCCAGAACTCAGTTCTCTGGAGTTCTGTACTTTTTTTTAAAGCTTTTAGAGACAGGGTCTTGCTCTGTCTCCTAGGCTGGAGTGCAATGACCTGATGACAGCTTACTGTAGCCTCAAATTCCTGGGCTCAAGTTATCCACCTACCTTGGCCTCCTGAGTAGCTGAGACTATACATGGGAGCCACCTCACCTGGATAATTATTAATTTTCTTAAATTAGAGATGGGGTGTCGCTATGTTGCCCAGGCAGGTCTCAAACTCCTGACCTCAAGCAATCCTCCCACCTTGACCTCCCAAAGTGGTGGGATTATAGGTGTGAGCCATAACACCCAGCCTCCTTTTGGGTCTTTAATGAAAGCTTCATTATGGTCATAATTGACTACATCACTAGCCATTGATGTACTGGCTCAACCTTCAGCCTCTCCCAGAGGTGAGAGGGTGGAATACTCTAAGTTTCAGCCCTCTAATCATGGGATTACTCTGGCAACCGGCCAAATCCTTAAGCAATCTAGGAACCCCCAGATACCAGTCATCTCATTTGCATGCAAAGACACTCTTATCACTCCAGAGATTCTAAGAATACCTCAGGAAAAGAGGGAGGAAGATCAAATATATATTTCACCCCTCTCTAACTCCAGGTGAAGCTCAGGACACTCTGAACACTTCTCCTGAGGCTTCCCCACACCACTATTCCCTGCGGTAGGCTTGGACCTCACCACTCCGGACATCCCACGGTGTGAGAGGCTTTAATGTCAAGATGTTAGGTTCACTGAAGTGACTCCGCTAGAGCTGTTAATCCAACCTAGAGAGAAAATGTGACCTAATCGCCACTACAGTGTCCCAGACCAGCCTCTGTTTCTATGGGTTCCTGGAGCCAGAAGGAAACTGAGTCTACCCAGGGCTCTACTCAGATCTTGTCTATAGCCAGCAGGGATCCTAGGACCCTTGGGGGTTCAGGGCCACCAATTCTTGAAGCCCAGCAAATAAGAGAACGGCCACCTAGAAGCATTTCTAAGACAT